CCCCATGAAATGCATCCATACTTTGCCAAGTCTCCAAATCCCCGATGTCTATCGGAGCTCTCACTTCCCTTTCGAGATCCAAACCTTCTTGGTGCTCTTCATGTTGGAAATGATTTCCTTTGGCACCCAAAAGCGTTTGACCCCATAGATGGCTTGCTTGTTCATCTTGATGGCCGTCACCTTATTATTTTTCTTCTTCTCTAACAAGTATGGTGTAGAGGCCTTCTTGTCCACCTTGTTGGTGTAGGTGTTGGAGAGCTTGTTTGTTTGCTTCTTCTCTTTCTCCTTTGCTCCTCCCCCATTCTTCACCTTGCACTCATAGGACTTGTGACCTTCCTTGTGGCACACATACCAAACCATGGTTTGTCCTTCATCAAGCTTCTTCACTCCCTTGATGGCGTTATCTTGATGAAGTTGGGCTTCCTCTGCCTTGCCTTTCACTTGTGTCAAGTCCTTGGTGAGGCGAGCTACTTCTTGCTTGAGTTGCTCATTCTCCTTTGCAACCTCTTGTGTGCATGTATCTACAACAACTTTCTCAACACAAACTTGGTTGCACAAGGATGAGTCTAAACATAAATCATTACAAGAAGAAGAGGCATCCTTTTTAGACATGTTAAAGATAGAACTTTTCTTTTTAGATGTCTTGGTGGGGATTGTATTAACGGCTTCAAGATTAGCAACTTTATTAGTTAGCTCATCACAATATTTGCACATGGTTTCCATTTTAGCAAGCAAACATTTATAAGCATCTTGTGAACTAGCTAACTTTTCTTTTAATTTTTCATTTTTCTTTACAAGTCGCTCATCATTGATTGTGCATGCATTTGTTGTTGCACTAGCCTCAAGTTGCTCAATTTTAGTAGATAGTTCAACATTGAGATTAGCAAAGTTCTCCTATTGTTCAAGCAAGGTTTTGTATGATTCTTGTGAACTATCTAGCTTTTCTTTTAATTTTTCGAGCTTCTTTTGTTGACTAGTGCAAACTTTAGCATAATTAAGATTTTATTGCATAATTTCATCATAAGAAGGCATTTTATCATCACTCTCACTCTCACTAGAGGATGAGCTTATGTTATCTCGTGCCATAAGGCACATACGAGAAGAGCTTGATGATGAGTGCTTGCGCCCTCGCCTCTTGTGATGGTGTTCTTCTTCACTTGAAGAATCATCCTATGACCTTATTGATGTGAGGGCTTGGTTCTTGCATGCCTTCTTCTTTGTCTTGGGTGTGGGCTTGTTTGGATAAATTTCCACAAAGTGCCCCAACTCGCCACATCCATAGCATCCTCTCTTTCTTTGCTCATTTCTTTGATTGATGAAAATGAGATCTTGGATTTGGATGGGCACACCCTTGATATTTAGCATTTGGATCATCTTCTCTACCTTGTTGATTAGTTTGATTGATTCTTCATCAAGGTCGGAGGTGGAGGAGGAAGATTGATCATCTTCACTTGAATCTTCATCATCATCATCGTCATCATCTTCACTTGAGGAGCTTGAGCTTGTCTCAACTTGCTTGCCCTTCATTTTCTTTTTCTCGCTACATGCGAGAGCTTTGCCTTTGCTCGATGAAGAGGCTTCGTCTTGACCCATCTTACGTGACATTTCAAATGCCACTATCTTGCCAATGATTATGCCCGGGGTCATGGTGCTCAAGTTCTCCATGTTGTGAAGGATGGTGATGATGGTTACATATTTCTTTTGTGGTAGCACGGAGATGATCTTCCTCACGATGTCTGCATCATCTAGCTTTGTTAATCCTATTGAATGGAGCTCATTGATAATTAGATTCAAATGAGAATACATATCACGAACAAGCTCATCATTATTTATTGTAAAGGAATCATAATTTTGTTTAGCTAGACAATAGTTTTTGCTCACGGACATTAGATGTGCCATCATGGAGCTCTTGAAGTTTTAACCAAATTTCATGTGCCATATTTAAAGTGAACACTTGGTTAAACACATCCATACTAAATGATTCAAACAAGCAATTTTTAGCTCTAGCATTGAAATGAATTTCTTTTTCTTCACTCTTCGTGGGTTTATCTGTTAATGGGTTTCATCCCGTCACGAGTGACTCTCCAAACACCCAAATCAACCATCTCAAGGTGGAAAGCCATTCTAACTTTATAATAGGGAAAGTTAGTGTCATCAAAATGCGGAGGCCTAGATGTATCCATCCCAACCACTCTAAAAAGTGTCGACTCAACGGCGGTGAAGACAAAAGTCCAAATTGAGCCAACCAACTCTGATACCACTTGTAGCGGACCATGATGCCGAAGAGGGGGGTAAATTAGGCAACTTAAAAATCTAACTCTAAACTATGGTCTCTTTTTTTAACCTTAGCAAAACCTATGCAAAAGATAAACTATCTAAATGTGCAACTACGGTTTTACCAGTGTGTTACTATCTCTACCGCAAAAGGAGTAATACAATCAATATAAACGTGGAAGCTAAAGAGCAAGGTAGAGATATGCAAACTCCCATCGATGACTCCGGTATTTTTATCGAGGTATCGAGAAGCACGCAAGCTTCCCCCTAGTCCTCGTTGGAGCCCCTCGCAAGGAATCCCTCGTAAGGGCCAAGCTCCCGGTCGGATAACTCCGTGGATAGCCTCGGGCCTTCCCCACGTGCAAGTGGGTCTCCGACGTGCCTTCCGGCAAGCCTCTCCAGGATGCTCCCCGCCGTCTTCACTATCAAGCTTCCGGCCGAAACGTCGCGGTCCTTGTTCCCTCTGGTACACGGTGGTGGCCACACCACAACCGCGGTTGGTGTGGTCTCGCAAGACTACAAGCCCCTCCGATGTACAACAATGGTGCGCACAAACACCAAATGGTAAGAGGTATGCAAACCTCACTAAACACTAGGTCTAAACCTAGAGCAACCGCATAAGCGGTGGTCTAATCAACCTAAGCACTTTGCAAAGCACCTACGTAATCACCTAATGAATCACTAAGCACTATGCAAGTGAAGATCACTAAAATAGTGTATCAACACCCTTAATATGTTTTCTCAGCTCCACACTTCTCAAATGGCCGATTGGGGGGTCTATTTGTAAGCCCCACTGAGAAAGTAGTCGTTGAGGACGAAATCCTGCTTTTCTGCTACTGACCAGCGTCCGATCAGCACTGACCGGACGCGTCCGGTCACAAAAATTGCTCTCTAGAACCTTACTGATGTTGACTGAACTCTGGCACCCAGCGTTCGGTCACTTTGCTGCTCAGCGTCCGGTCCAGCGTCTGGTCGCTGCTGCTGACGCCTGCTGTTGCCGAGCCTCTTGATCGGAGCGTCTGGTCCAGTGTCCGGTCACCTCTGTGAGCTCGTTTCTTCGCGATCTTGCGTACGGCTTGGTTCCTATCTTCATGCTTGGACTTTGCTTGATATCTTGGGTCTTCTCTTGTGCTCCTAGGGTCTTGCTTATGGTGTTGATCATCAGATCATCACGTCGCCTTCGTCCAAGTCATGTCTTGCACCCTATTGGACTACAAAACAATCACTTGTAAATTCATTAGTCCAATTTGGTTGTGTTCATCATCAAACACCAAAATCCAAAGTAAATGGGCCTAGGGTCCATTTTCCTTACAGGTATAACCCTAGGTACCCACGGTAATGGACATGGGCCACACCACTAGAGGTGGTCCAACCCATAAGATCAAGGCCCACGGTGCTCGGCTCTGGTCGGCGTGCACTGCAAGGCAATCAGAAGACATCTTGGCGATGAAGAAAGATCTGTTCGGATATGATAGATATCGTATTCCTTGTAAATACTTACCATATAGCCGAATAGATCTAGATCTAAACCGACCTGTAACCCTACCCTTCAGACTATATAAGGCGGGTAGGGACCCCCCTCGAATGCATCTCATATTCAATATAATCCACCAAAGACACATGACGTAGGGTATTACGTCGATCAGACGGCCCGAACCTATCTAAATCGCTGTCTCTACGCCCGTGTCACCATCCGGTTTCTATTACGTGCACCTCCACCGATCATCTACTACTATGGGTATACCCATCGGTAGACTGCCGACCAGATTTCGTCGACACCAGGCTACCAGGCAATTTCCTCCATTAGCCTTTTCCTGTCCTCTCCATAAAAACCCACTACGTTTCTTGTCGATGGCTCTGATAGCCCATTTGGGGAGATCCACCGCAATCAGAAAGTAAATTACAGTGGTGTTTCACTGTCTAAAATTTAGGATATAGGCTGCTATTGCCTACAAAGAAGGGTTGACAGCCTAACAAAAGGTACTCCTTCCGTCCGAAAATAAGTAATCATCTCGTATTTTAAAAAATCAAGTAAACTCAAATTTGACTAAATATATGTAAAATATTATTAATATTTATAATGCCCAGTAAGTATCATTAGATTAATTACACCATATATTTTGATAGTAAATCTATTTATGGAGATATAAGCGTCGGTACCCTCCATTTCAAATTATAGTAGGAGTATAAATTGTTTTTACTATTTATCCAAACATAGTGGATATTTTAGCGCATAACAAAAACTTTGCATCTTTTAAAACCAAAACTTCTTATCATTTGAAATGGTAGGAGTATAAATCTAGTCACACTTAAAAGTATTTTTGAAGGAAAACACTTAAAAAGTATTTGACTCTTGAAATATGAGATGAGGATTTATTTTAGGAATACAGAGGAAGTACTCATTTTCCCTCGTGATATCGCGAAGAGGTGACCAACAGGCAGCAGGGCCAAGGTCGAACAGCCTCATGTTTTGCGGTTAACGTAAAAGCACCAAGATGATACCGGAGACTCCGAGTCCGAGGTGTAGTTTTGCTGTGTGAAGAATTGATCTTTTTTCCCTTCTGTTTCGCCACTAGTTACAGCCGACAAAAATGGCTGCGTCATCTGCGGAGAATGTACAGGGCAAGGAAGGGAGAATACAAAACTGTTTTTGGCAATCACATCTAATATATTCCCTATAAATCCTATCCCTGTACTTCCAGTATCAAGTGTGAGGCAGCGGAGAATCAGCTCGGACTTGATACCCCTGCCACAATTTCAACTCGGGCTTTCTCAAGGGCGTGCGGCAAGTTCTCCGGCTTCCGCCCCCCAGCTTGGGCAAAGTTGGGCTTGCCTCCACCGCCTCCGCCGCAGAGTTTGGCTATGCCACCCACGAACTTCCCTGCCTGCAGTCCCAATTTGACGACTGCAGGGCTGAAGGCAGCAACCAGGCTGACTTTACCATCCCCTGGGCTTGATCCTAAAATCACCGCAGCAGGGTCTTGGAGGGTATCTATGAGATACTCCGCTGCGCTTTTCAGCCCATCTGCGTCTACATCACCCATGTTCTCAACCACAATCCTATAGAAAACCGATAGGTGAGATCACCTTTGCCAACTTTCACTTTATTAGCAGAGCATGACACCTTTAATGACAGGGCATAGTGATATGAAGGACGCAATTGGTGATAACTGAAGCAAGTACCTGACATTCTGGGGTTCCACAGTTGTAGCTTTACTTGCAAGAGAAACTGCTTTTAGCACTGCAATTTTGCTGCGTAGAGATGATACTTCGTTTCTGGTTGCTCTTAGCTCCTCGAGAATTGTTTCTACTCTACCGTTCACATCTTCAGCCTTAACCTGAAATACAAGTCACAGCTCACGTGGTTAAAACATCAACAGAGAAACTGTAAATGGAGAAACATACTTTTGATAACTCTACAAAGATGGGCAGCAGTACAAAGGATTGGCTATTGCCAGTAACCAACATAATGTCTCAAATCCAGTGATCCGTGAGTAAACTTGTAACCCACATGGAGTCCATTACCAAATTTGCCTATAATCAGCAGTAGTGGGCATGCAGGTTTTATGTACAATGAGTTTCGCAACACTTGAAACAGCAAACCCAAAGTCCATTTGAATAGACGACAAATACCATCAGATGCATGAGTACAGCCCAATTGCCCAACTCACCAACAAAAGCACGATGAATCACAAGGTAACAAACAAAGCTTTTTACAGCATGCATACCGCATACCTTAAGGGATGAGCATAAGCGCCGCATGTAGTTGTCCCGAGCACAAACATAGTCAACAAAAGCATCACCTGCAACTGCTTCTATCCTTCTGACCCCAGAAGCTATTCCTTGTTCTGAAATTATCTTGAAACCACGGATCTCAGCAGTATTACTGACGTGAGTCCCACCAGAGTTCCAATGAGACACCAGGGACCTCTACGACTCTGACCTATCAGACAATAAAATAAAATAAATGGAGGGTTAACTTCTGACAATGCTTAGTATCTACTCCCCCCGTCCTGAAAAGAATGCAATTCTAGCACAATATCAAGTTAAAGTATCTCAAGTTTGACCAATTATATATTAAAAAGTATAAATAGTTATGACATCAAATAAGTATCATTAGATTTATCATGAGATATATTTTCATAATATACTTATTTGGTGTCAAAAACATTAATATTTTTACCTATATATTTGATCAAACTTTGGACACTTTAACCGAGAATGCACCTAGAATTGCATTCTTTTCAAGGGCGTACCCAATGCAAAGAGCTCCCGCTCTGTGCAGGGTCTGGGGAAGGGTGTCAGTGGCAAGCCTTACCCTTGCCTGTTCAATGTGAGGAGACCGCGACTCGAACCCGGGACCTTCCGGTCACAGGTGGTAAGACTACCGCTTGCACCAGGCCCACCCTTCAATTGCATTCTTTTCAGGAGAGAGAAAATAAAGATCCAGATTTGCAAACAACGACTACTCCAGAGTCTCCACTATTTCTTTTTTCTTGAACGTGTTAGAGAGCTGTCTCCACTAGTAACACCCATAGGTATTAACAGAATTGCTCTACCATTCATAATTATTTTCTTAGCATCAGTTGACCCTTAAATTCAGACATGCCATGCAAGAATTTTCATGATTCCTTTTGTCACATCAATGCAATATCCCATCTTGGGTACGATCTCGTTTTAAGATATACCAACCTGTTCACCGTATTTTTCTCCGAACATTGCAATAGCACCAGCATTTTTTGCATCTTGCAAAGCCATGACTTTTGTCTCAAGATGTGCTGCATTGCCAATCCATTGGTTTACAAGCGATTCAATTGTTGTTAATTCCTCGTCAGAAAGTGGGCGATGGAAATTGAAGTCAAATCGAAGACGGTCAAATGCCACAAGGGAACCAGCCTGTGAAGTTTCTGAACCAACCACACTTTTAAGAGCAGATTGTAGTAGATGTGTTGCAGTGTGATGGGCCTACAAAGTGCCGGAAGCATAAAGGAGTTATATAACAAGATTAGCCTGTGTGACGTGATAATGGAGGGCGTACCCAGTGCAGAGAGCTCCCGCTCTGTGCGGGGTCTAGGGAAGGGTGTCAGTGGCAAGCCTTACCCTCGCCTGTGCAATGTGAGGAGACCGCGACTCGAACCCGGGACCTTCCGGTCACAGGCGGTAAGACTCTACCGCTTGCACTAGGCCCGCCCTTCTGACATGATAATGGAGACAATAAAGAATTCATATCTGACGTCTAACAACAAATTTGCTTATAAACACATGTCACATGTGATATAAGCTAAGCTGTTACTGGTCACAAAACATAAGTTACAAACCATAGTCCTGTACAGATTTCATATAATCAGAGATGTTATATGGATGCTGTCAGAAGGCATGACACAGATGAAATTAACTATCTATATAAAATATTCTTTTCTTGTTTATTAAAGACCACTGGAAACTGATGTGATCAAATCACAACTGTAGTTAATGCAATTCCAAATAAATAAAATGACAACCAAATTGAAAAGGTCAAGAAGCAGATACACTGCACCAATTTCATACCTTAGCCCCCTGCCTCAATTTTGCATCAACAGAAGCATCTACTTCCTTGCCAACCTCTACAGACCCTTGCTTAATTGTGCCTTTATATTTCCCAGAGATTTTTGGACGTCATTAATTTCTATAACTGCTGCTTGACTTCTATCTTCCCCTCCATTCACATATAAGAAACCATTATCTCCAACTTGACCACCTGATTCAGCATAGAATGGTGTCCGATCTAATAATATTTCTACTTCAGAACCTTCAGAAACTTCATTAACTGGGTTTCCATTAACTAGGAGACCTTTAACAATGGCAGAAGCAGAGAGAGAGTCATATCCCAAAAATTCAGTATCGAGGATGCTCTTGACTATCTCAGTCTCATTTCCTACAGAAAGCTTGACTACATTATGAGCGGCTTGAGATTGTTTCCTCTGGTTTTCCATTTCAATATCAAATCCCTCAATATCAACAGTAACACCTTGTTCACTTGCTATTTCAGCTGTAATCTCTACTGGAAAACCATATGTATCGTACAAAAGGAAAACATCTTTTCCAGATAGGGAAGGTTTATCTCCATTATTACCCGCACTTAATAAAGCCTCATCTAGAAGTTCATCTAATAACTTTTCGCCTCTTTCCAAAGTCTGAACAAATCGCAGCTCTTCCCTTTGAAGTTCTCCAATGATTGATCTCCGTCATGATTCAACATCTGGATCTATCTCACTGCTAAGGCTGATCACTACCTCAGCTAGTGAAGGTAACAATGCACCTCCAGAATTTCCATGCCCATCACCTCTTATTCCTATCAATCTACCAATCCGAACTACTCTTCTTATTAGCCTTCGAACAACGTATCCTCTCCCAATATTTGAGGGAATTACCCCGTCTGATATGAGATAAACAACTGCTCTCATGTGATCTCCAATTATCTGGAAAAACAAAAAAGAAATCAAAGGTTGTATGTGTCCCCCTTATTTGTCATAAAGCAAACACTACATCTTGGATAAACCACCTTGAGATTTGTCTTTGTGGCATCATCAGTTTTAGCATAGGATACCATCGCCATGCTAGCTGCCTTTTCTATAATTGGGAAAATCAAGTCTGTCTCATAGTTGTTTGGAACCTATATGATACATGGCAACATTTCGAGTTAGATCATAGCTTAAAAGAACAGGTATGGCCTAAATCATATTCTGAGAAAATATAATGGGAGGTAATACCTTTTGAAGAATGCGTGCCATACGCTCAAGACCCATTCCTGTATCAATGTTCTTTTGTTTCAACGGTTCTAGAGATCCGTCGTCCCTTTTATTGTATTGCATAAAGACAAGATTGTAGAATTCAATGAATCGGCTATCATCGCCCAAATCCTGCACATAACTATATGGATATCACTAATTTCAGTTATCAGATAATCTCTTACAGACAAAACACAAAAAATCATACTATAAATCCCTTAGCCACTAAAACCACAGAATCTTTACACACCGCATTGTCAAAGGGCGCCTAGTTCAAACGGTTAGGTGACCCAGCGGCACTTCTCAGGTCCTGGGTTCGATTCCCCGTGGGAGCGGATTTCAGGCTGAGGTTAAAAAAATCCCCTCGCCCGTCCCCATGTGCCAAAGCGCAGTGGAAGGCTCCGGCCCGGTTCTCACAGGGTTACGGCACCTCCTGCGTCAGGATTGGGGCGGGGGGTCGGGGGTTTTCTCGATCTGTGTGAGAAGATCTTCTTAGTAAGAAAACCCGGGGGCCGTCATAACCCCCCGCAGGTCGAGTTTTTTTTTTTTTTTACACACCGCATCTGATGATCCTCTCTCAGGATAGAAATCGTAATAAATTTCAGAGCATGGTCCACAGGGTCCGGTTGCGCCGCTAGTCCAAAAGTTATCTTCTGCACCCATCCTCTTTATCCGCTCTTTTGGTACACCAACCTTCAGAAAAGAACAAATATAGAATCTATCACTCATACTGCAAAGCTACTGCTTATATAATAAAAAAGGGAACAAATATTGTTCCCAGGTCCAGCTTCTCCAGTGTTACAAAATATAACCCTTGCATCTCCTGAATAGAGTATGCATGCTTTGACAGTTAAATATGATTAATGAATCATAAGAATATCTCTACTCCTGCTTCTACTACAGTTCGCTGTTATTGTTGCTGCCCCCCTCTCCCTCCCCTCTAATTGTGCGCGAGGCTCTTGTACTCCTAGCCTAGATTGGCAATGAAATATGGTTGAAGACATTTATAAACTTTAGATAGCTGACCTCATTGTGCCAGATGTCGAATGCTTCATTGTCATCTTCAAAAACACTAATCCACAACCTTTCTGCAGGTAATCCATACCTAAATAAAATAGAATGGAAAATATATACTCAAACCTTGTAAAATCAAAGAACTAAATACAGATGGGTAAATATGCTTTCTGATGGCTGGAAACATAAGCCAAACAGGCAATTCATTAGTACTGATACAAATCAAATAGAACTACAGCATTAGTAATCATCGAGTCATGTTCTAAACAAAATCAAGCATTGATGGCTAAAATGTAAGTACTATTTCCAGGTAAAAGAAGAGCAACTTAAGACTAACTAAACCTGACATGATAATGCGTTAAGACAACACTGAGATTCTAGAGGCATACAAGTTTGAATGGCATTCCTATGAAAATAAGCAGAACACAGTAAACTTTTCATATGAACAGTTTATAAGTCACAAATATGGAGGTCATTCTCCATGGAGAATAAAGGAATTTTCCATACTCCTTGGTTGCCAGCTCACATGCCCATGCGGTTGCTTCTTTCTTGAAGTAATCACCAAAACTGAAGTTCCCAAGCATTTCAAAGAAGGTCTGATGTCGAGCAGTGCGTCCCACATTTTCAATGTCGTTTGTTCGTATGCATTTCTGAGAGGTAGTGGCGCATGGCACACGCCTAGGTTCCTGTAAGTAGCAAAACAAAGGACCTGAGAACGAAGTAAAATGAAACAATGTCTGTTCCAGTCCAGGTTGTCAGAAGCTTAATTCGAGTCTGAAAGTCACGACTCTATTGATCATAGGTGGCATATTATTATTGTTACAGATCTAGTAGAAAAGAAAATATAGGATCATGCTCAATGGCTTATTCTACTTATTCTAGTAACTGCTTGTGTATAAATAGTTAGTAAACACCCTTGCAACCGTGAGGTTTCACCTTTTAATTGTTTGCAAATAACTTGTATGTGTCATAAAAGAAAGTCAAGAATGGACCTAACAATTTTCTATAAAAATATGTGCAACTTTGAACCAGGAGGAGATGAGTGAGGTCAATCTTTTGATTTCTAAGGATCTATTGGTTGGTTCATACCAGAAAATTCCCAACAAGCTCTCGCATCCCCAACCCCAAAAATCAGACATCCCTGTAGGTGGCGTCATTGATACTTAGCCATTTTGTGCAACATTTCCAATTTTATTGATCAAATTCAAAGCGTAATTCATAAATCACAAGTGTTTGCTCTTATGCAGTGCCGCATTTCACAAGCACACTAGCCTTCACTGACACAATATGCAAGTCGCAAGTCGCACCTTGCTGAGAAATATAGGCTTGAACTGAAGCATCCCTGCTATGGTGAGGAACAGGGTTGGGTCGTCAGGCACAAGTGACGAGCTCGGAAGGATCTTGTGGCCATGGGCTGCATAAAATTCAAGGAAACGCCGGTGTATCGCATCCCCACTCCACTCCCCTGGACCCGCTGTGCCCAACTCCTGGGTAGAGCGTTCTACTGAGGCTGTAGATTGAAAAAAAAAAAACTAACTAACTGAAGCTCCAATTTCATACCAGTTATTATCGATTAATAAAAAATCAGAAATAGTATAACACCGAGTATCTGAACCTGACGAACTGCTTGTTACGAAGAATCCGTTCTTACGAGAAGAATGCCTTCTACCGACACTATCTCCAACACATCCAAGCCCTGCCACAACACCATACGCCCCACGTTCCAAGTCGGGGGCCACCTCAGAAATCGACAGCACGAATGGATGAATTCGAACGGGTAAGCGTCTCGCGAGACGGATGAGGAGGAAGGTACCTCGGAATCCGAGGGGAGGCGCGCAGGAGGTGACCGAAGACGCATCGGGGAGGCAGGAGGCGGAGGCGGAGGCGGAGGGCGGGCGCGGTGGAGAGGAGCGGTGAGAGGGGGCGAGACGTGGCGGAGAGAGCTGCCACCTCCATGCTGAGAGCTCGGCGCCTCTGCACTTGGGGTTTGTGGTTTCGGCTCGCGGGAATTTTACATATTTACCATTATTAACATCGTCACTCATCCGTTTCTCATTCTTATAATGGCTCTTACAGATTTATCATCTTTAAAAATCGTGCGTCTTCGTTTTGCCACATTTGCTCGCAGATGACGTGCCTCGCAAAAAGACTTGGCTGCCCCTGCCCATTTGCTCGCGCTCGCCAAAGGGCTGCCTCGCCCATTATATTTCCCCAGGCCTAGAACTGTCATGTTGGTGTTTGAATGAATCATATGGCAATAAAAAAAATAAGAACATTCTGGCCATGCTAATTAAGAGAGACAAATTGTGGCCATCTAAAATAAGAGAGGCACATTGTGTCCATGCAAAGTAATAGAGGCACATTACATAGTATCACATATGACAACCAAATAAGATAGGTACATCAGCTATGGAAAAATTAAGATCACTACATAAAATACTTGTTTCTGACAACCAAATAGGGGCACATTGTGGCCATACATATAGAGTTTTTGGCCTTTGCCCATTACATACGACAGCATGCTGATAGTTATGCCCATTTGATTACAATAGAAGGCCATGCAAAATAAAAGTTCTGGCCAATTACACATATTATCAAGAGTTCAAGCTCTTAGCAAAATAAAAGCAATGTTCCGGTTCATCTTAAGTTCCCAGTTCATCTTTAGTTCTTCCTCACTTTCTTTGTCAACTTCTTCTTCCTAGGTGTCATTTTCTTGACAGGCTCAATTTGCAGTTCATCTTCTGAGAATAGGTTCCTGTTCAAAACAATAAAAGTCATGGTACAGCAAGCGACATGAACTCCTAGTTGTAGACTCAATAACATACCTCCTAGCTTTTGTAGTTTCTGGGACATCAACTTCTAGAGCCAAGGCTTCCAGGACATCTTCCTGTGCATGAGTTGCAGATAACTCATTTCTTGTAGCCTCAATTTCTTCCCTAGCTGCTGCTTCTGTTGCTTGTCTTGCTACCGCAGCCTTGAGTTCAGCTTCTTCAACATCCCTCCTTGCTTTTGCTGTAGCTTCCCTTGCTAGTGCTCTTCTGGTTCTTGGAGTGTCTGCTTCATCACCAGCATCACCTTTGTTTGCTTTCTTCCTCCCAACCTGAACATTACTCTTTTTGGTTCTTTTTCTGCAACAATAACAAAACAAGTTAGTAATTACAACAGTTAGTAAACAAATTAAATACATGAGTTAAGAAATCACCTTTTCTTGGTTCCAGTGAGGGAACATTTCCACTACCACCCCTATGACCATACTCATTGCAGCTTAGGGCACTTGACTTGCCTAGTAGCTTTTCCACCGCCTCCCTTTTGATTTAATCCTATTCTTCCTCACCTACCGCTTCTCTCTTTTTCTCGTCTTTGGAGGGTACTGACTTGAAGCCCTTGTCCACCTCAGTGCCACCGATTCCTATCGATTATGTTAGGAACTATGCCTGCATATGTTTTTGAAACTTTTGCATCGAGTAGTAGTGGTGTACAAATGCTCCCATGTCAGGTTGCCTCATCTTTGGTAATCATGCCCAAGGCATGTGGACATGGTTTACCAGATTATTCCGCCCATCGTCTACATGTGCATATTTTCGAGATAAATACACAACATGTCTTGAACTTCTTCATCCTTGTAGACCTCTCAGAACCTCGGCTTGATTAGGGTGGCCATCTGGAAATGTTCAAGTGTCCTAGACCTCTTGATGTTGCATTAAGTTGATGGATGATGACTGTAATATACCGGGGAGACAAGGTCAGAAATCTTTCTCCTTTGGCAAACAAAACCATGATCTTCTCTCTAATAGCATCAGCCATCATATGCACAGCAAGTCCTTGTGTTCTTTGATCCAAGCATTCCAAGATTCGCTAAATTGTTGTTGATGTAGTCACATTTGATGTCATCACAAAATTTACTTCTTGCCCTGAGAAAGGATGGTGCTCATCACCATTTTCGCACATCTGGATATGGCCGCCAAGACCTTGTCAAAAAGAACTTGAACTTGTGTTTGAATAAGCTCTTCTCAGCAGCCACATATTCTTCCCATACAATCACCACTGTAGTACTTCTTCATGTTTTTCCATTAGGTGCCTAAAACATTCTCTCATCTCACTGTGGAAACACTATTTTAATCACGACTCTAACCCCTTGCATGCAATATGCAGATAGCAAGCTTTTCCATGGGTCCTATGGATTTTCTAAGTTGTTCCATAAAAAGACCCAGTTATCCTTTGTCTCAGAGTCAAAAAACCAAAGGCCATGTGAAACATCCGATTGTGGCCATCTAATGCTAATCCTGCAGTATGTGGCCATTCCACAAGCCATTGAGCCATTCAGCTAGTCTTTGCATTTTGCAAAATGAAACAAAACATCGTAACAAAGGGAAATAAACACAAACAAAGGAGTAAAATGCAGAAAGTAACAGTTATAAAACAAAAAACAACAGGTTCATAAATAATTTAGAATTTATACCCTGACACTGTCATCATGTTGGGTTCTAGCTCTAATAAACCATGGATGACCTAGAGCAAAGACATTTACCCTGAACCTCATCGAGTGCTCGAGATCAAGCTCAAACTCCTTCCTTATAGCATGTTGCCGACAGCCTAGCCTAAACTCATCCATCTTTGGGATAGCATGTGCCAACACTCATATCTGGATTGTCCCTATCCCATTCATACATTGGCTCTTGCATCAATTGTGTCATCAACATTGACAATTTGCTTCATTCATATCTGCTTGCATCTCTGCTTTGTGATAACTGGAATGGGAACCTCTTTTCTCATGGCTTCTTGTGCCTCTACTTCCTTGAACCCCATTGCCTCATATACATGTTCCTCATCAACAAGTTTGTGTAGCTAAGCCATCATCATCGGGATTCTCTGGTATGGTTAGTGTATTCCAATCAACTGCTATAGGCATCCAAAGAGGGAGTGGGGGTGTCTTTGGTGGGGATCTGCAAGTATCACCACACCCTCAAACATCATCAGCACATGACTTGGTCCAACATGAGACCCATCGGTGACACCAGAGACACATCTTCTTTGTAGAACTACCTTTGTCTCAGACACCCACCTTTGCTCACAACATCTCATCGCAATGAAAGCCATCCTCTCATCCCATCATCCTTAACCATCTGCGCAAATGCTCATCCCTCCTAATCTTCCACTCGGACCCAAAGATCTTGGTCAAGAACCCATCTGAAAGTGTTTGAGATGGCCCCATATAATCCTAGTGGCTAAATCCTCATGAAATTCTGAGTATACTATTATTTCTGTCAAACCATAAGTCGTGTTGTCATTACGCCATCTCGACCAGGCCGTACTCACCATTAGCAACATATTTAGCGACTTTAACAACTAGTCTAAATGCAAAGCCAGGATCGATCCTGGCATAATCAACCACAATGAACGAAATACAGAGTCAGAGAATATCCAACTCACTGCACAGCTTAAGTTGGTAACACTTACCAAGACGGGCAATCACTGCTTGCCATTGTGACCTCGATTGATTGATGCCACCTACTACATCAGAATCCTACGAAGCAAAAAAAATGGATGGAGATAAAGTGAGCAACCATTCGGGCTGTAACCAAAATATGGGGGATGAAAATGCTAGACCGGCTTCAAACTTGTTCAAAGCTTATGGCGAGGCGTTGATAGTAGCCATCAAGATATGATTTCTTATCTCAGTATGTATGTTGATAGATGCTAACTTGCATTTTTTTTCGATAGCTCATGAATAGAGACACATATTCCTAATGATACATAGTATTTTACACCATCGCATCATTGAATCGACGATCAGCCTTTAAGTCCATGAACGAGGACGCTTGGCGCTATGGGACGCAGGACGGCTGCCCACCATGCGCGTACACCGTGAACCCTAACCCTAAATGCCGTGGAATGTGGGTGCAAAAAGGCGGCAGGGCCACGATACCTTCGATCCGTCGCGGCGGCGGTGGCACCGTGGCTCGAGGGACGCCGGAGGGGAGCAGGCGATGGCGGCGGAGGCGAGCTAGAGAAGAAGGGGACCGAGAAGAAGAAGCGGCGACGGTGTTCACGGGGGAAGACGAGAACGCGTCGGGCGTCGGCGTTGCCCGCACGAGAAAATGGGCGAGCGAGCGACTGGGCCGGCTCGTTTTCCCTTCTTCCAAATAGCCAGGGGCAGGCAGGTCATTTTGCTGCGCCCTGCTGACTATGCGCCACCGTGTCACGTCGCCGTGGCGTGCCAGACGAGCAAATGTGGCAAAACGAAGACGCACGATTTTTAAAGATGGTAAATCTGTAAGAGCCATCGTAAGGATGAGAAACGGATGAGTGGCGATGTTAATAATGGTAAATATGTAAAATTCCCTCGGCTTGCTCGTGCCCGGGGGTTATCGAGATGGCGTGTGGCTGCCGCTGGGCCACTGCCCGCGGGGCTGCCTGGTGGCTTGCTCCGCCCGCCCAGAGCTGGCTTGGCTGGAGCTTTACCACGCAAGGCCACGAGCCCACCAATTCTCTCAATTCACTGATGTTTCCTGAAAAAAAAAACCTCGTTTGGCAAGGCTTCACTTCACTAGTGAAGCTATTTTTTTTTTAGCTTCACGAACAGTTCCACCGGTAGAGCTGAAGCGGTTTTGGTAAACCGTTTGGCAAAATGACTTCCCTATGAGAGTACGTTTTTAGGGGTCTGGAGGAGGAGCCGGGAGAAGCCACTTTTTTAGCTCCATCCCACCCCAAATCACTGTGAAAGCATGTTTTTAGGGGCTTCACAAGTGAAGCTATTTTACTTTACCCCGTTTGATAGAAAACAGCTCCAAACAGCTTCTGAAGCCGGGGTGGAGAAGCCCTGACAAACGGGACCGAAATGTCGTTTCTGAACTCTAAGCATCTGCACCGCATCTTCTATATTGCATCTCCTGCTCTCCTATAAATTATTTTAAAGAGCACCTTAAAATCAGTTTAGGATATAAGAGAGCACTTCTATAGCAGATTATCTAAAACGTATCTCCTATATTTTCTAAGGACAGGGGAGAGAAGGTTATCTCCTTTATTTTAGAGAATGAGTGATTCTTTAGGAATTCTCTTAAAATATGTATAGGAGATGATGAGATAAAAGATCTGTCGCAACACCTTAATAATATCCTAAAACACTACCAACGTGTTTGGTGCATTCTCAGGTAACGTAAATGGAAACGAAATCAATTCACACGGGTTTCGATGGTGGGATCATCGATTGATGACTTTGTTTGGTATCGACGTGGTAGCGCCACTACAGTATACCAGCAACAGCGTAGGCTCTGTTGTTTCGTTAAAGCCATGGCTAAAAGTACTGTTCGCTAATTTGTTGTGAGAGAAAAATAATGTTCCTTCGTTGAAACAGCACGTCTCGTAAGACAAGCTAACAGGGCCATAATTCAATAAAGGGCGGAGACATGCGGTATCAGCGGGGAGTAGAGTGTTATATGATTACGCGATATTTCATTACGGACCGAATCGAACCAAGCACATGTATCGACATCTACTCCCGGAAGTATTCTGATTACGTTACATTTCGCCAAACCAAACGCTTCGTACATTTTAGATATATGAGGATGGATAGGGTATCTAGTGGTGATGCTCTTAGTCCATAGGGGGCACACTAAAGTTCACATTGTTTTTTGTATAGAACAAAATGACCATCTACTTTCCATCCTCTCATTCGTTGGTGTGTGAGGCCATGTAACACTATTATTAGACCCACTTGTAATCTCTATCCCTTCAAAAGTAGCTTTTTATTTAACTCCGTTGTTATCCCTAATGCCACACTAGCGTTCGCACGGCGTAGCCATGCTCCATGACTCTTTGTGCTTGTGGACGCCACTATCCTTGCCCATTGATCGATGTGCTGCCAACCATGCTCGTGCTCGTGCTCGCAGTTTGACAAACCTCTCCATGCTCGCGACCATTTGTCGGTGCCACCATGCTCCATGCTCCCCCACCCCTGTGCGTGACCACTGCCGTCCACATTTACCTGTACGCTGATGTCCCCTCTCGTACCTATCATTGCCATCGTCCATGCCTCCCGTCCTAACTGTTGCCATTTATGCATCTGCCCATGCCACCGCCGTCCGTCGCACCTACCATCGCACGAAGTCGAATATGCCCAACTCAATTGCTCGTTGGCGGGAAAGTAGGGTAGAGATGTCGGGCTTGAGCTGATGTACCGTCATGGCTGGGCTAGGCAGTGTTCTTATGATGATACAGCAGAGATATGACGTCTCATGGGTGACGCGCGGTGTGGGCGAGTGCGGCTCACGACGTGCAATGTGCGTGACCAATGGGTGGCACAGGCGAGCCAGATTGAGCGCTAGGAATAGGGTAGCAAGGACGGTGTCGACGATGAACATGGGGAGGCTGACGAGGTCAGAAATCTAGTGCGGAGTGACACCATTGGAGGAGGGTAAGGAGAAAACGATAGATGAAAGAATGAAGGGAAGGGGCTGACATGTGGAGGTGGTTGTACGTCAACGAGGAGAAAGAGTAGCAAGGGTATTTTAGTCTATACAAAAATACAATGTTCTACGTATGGATCTAAGTAGTCTAAGGACATACAAAATGGTATATTTTAGGTTCCTACTAGATGAATTTTAAGGCTATTCTCAACGAGAGTTCCATGAGCATTAAATTGACGTAATTTAAATGAAGAGAATGATGATAAAGGTTTTATGGGATGAAAATAAGTTTCGTAGGAGTTTTGAAAACAGCGACGTAAAACCTTTCGTCCCCACTGGAGACCGACCTAGTGACATAACCATATTAGACAAGAAGTAATAATATATCTGAAGCGTCAAATTTGCAATTACATTACTCTAATTAATCATCCATAGGATCGTACGTCCCTTTCGCCAGCCATTTCACCGGCCTACTCAAGTCGTAACGAACCCGTTCACAGTTCGCAGTGCACTGTGCACCATCAGCCTGTTCAATTGGCTGATTCGTTTCGTTGCTGGTTCGTGAAGAAGTTGACTGTTTTATATGAGAAAAAATATTATTCTAGCTAAAATTTTACAATCATTTACGATGAACCATAGCGAAACGAACACGCTGCATGCCGTGCTCCGCCACCTCGTGGCACCAAACCCACCAGCCATTTCACAGCGGACAGCGCCAGCTTAACGCCCCACTGGCCCATCTAGAAGGCTAGAAGTAGCCCCACGTGTCATTGAAGCATACCATTCGTACAGAGCTTCTCCCCACCAGTCCCCACTCTCCAGTCCCCCACCCGACCTTCGAAACAAACGGAGCGCCCAAAAATATCGCTGGGCCGGGCCGGGCACGGGTGGAAAGGCGCACCGCGCACCCACTCGAGACGACAAGAGGTCAGTCAGGCCACTCCATCCCGTCCCCGAAACCGGCGGCGATGCACTTCTTCTCCGGCAGCGGCGGGGGCCGCTCCGGCGCGCTACTCCCCACCACCTCCAAGCCGAAGGCGCACCACCACCTCCGTTCCAAGTCCTCCCTCTCCGCTCCCGCTTCCTCCCGCCGCCGCGGGGGCGGCCTCCACTCCGCGTCCTCCCCCTACTCCCGCCGCGCCCTCTGCCTCGCCGCGACCGCCTTCGCGGCGCTCTTCATGCTCGCCTTCCTCCGCCTCGGCTTCCCCTCGTCCCGCTCCGCCGCGCTGTCTTCCCCCGCCCGCCCCCGCGGCGCGCGCCTCACCCGCAGGCCCGCCTTCCGCCTCCGGGACTCGGCCGCGGCCGAGGCCGCGGCGGCCGCCGTGGCGGCCCGGATCGGGCGCGAGGCGCCCGTGGATATCACGACGAGGGACCTCTACGACCGGATCGAGTTCAGCGACGTCGACGGCGGCGCGTGGAAGCAGGGGTGGGAGGTCAAGTACAGGGGCGACGAGTGGGACGCCGAGAAGCTCAAGGTCTTCGTCGCGCCGCACTCGCACAACGACCCAGGCTGGATCCGCACCGTCGAGGAGTACTACGAGCGCCAGTCGCGCCACATCCTCGACACCATCGTCGAGTCCCTCTCCAAGGTCCTCCTAGTGTTCTCGCCACTTGAGATTTGCTTTTGGGTCTTGGTGCTCCTCTCCTTTTGACGATCGTCAGGATTCTGCTATGGTATAGGATTCGCGGAGGAAGTTCATATGGGAGGAGATGTCGTACCTGGAGAGGTGGTGGCGCGACGCGCCGCCCAAGAAGCAAGAGGCATTCGCTAAGCTTGTCCGTGACGGGCAGCTCGAAATCGTGAGCGGCGGATGGGTCATGAATGACGAGGTGAGAGGGAAGTAAAACTTTGTGGTTTAGATGGGGTTTAAGGAATAAACCGTAGCTTCTGTTTCCTTGCTTGTGTTTTCCATTGGCATGCTATTCGTCCACCATCTGTCTAGGACATGAACGAAATGGAATTTCATTTCACGTTTTATTACCTGGTTGTCTAGTTGATTACAAATGAATCTGGACGTGATGTGCTTGTAGGACTAATATGGAATTTCATTGTTTCTCCTTGCCCACATTGTGATCTCAAATCTTAGGGAGGTATGCACTTGATGCTGTTTTATATTTTGGCATGAACTGGGTGTAACTTATTTTGGTTTTGTATCTCGTTGGCTTGTGCATCCATGCTTAGCAGTCAATTCGGGTTGGGCCTAGCATCAGGTGTTGATGTGTAGTTGTGACTCTTATGCTACCTGACCACTCCAAGCTTAGAAAATCGAAAATCTACAGATTATGTGGGCAACTGGGCATGCGTTTCATGTTACATGATCTATCATGCCAGGCTTTGTTGCTCTAGAATTTGCATACATTAGTGCACATGCTAAGGATATTCAACAGTCAGGATTATGGCTAAATGATCACAAACAACACTGGCATGTTTACTTTATTTTTTTTCCTTTAGTATGTTGTCTCTGCTGTGAGCTTGTTTTTATTAAGCCATTCATTGTTCAACAGATATTGTGCTCCTTTGTTCTATATTAATGAACCTCTCCTTTGGAGATATATTAATCATTGTGTTTTATAACACTGTATTGTTTCTGTTGTTTAATCTTTTCTAGTGAAGTATTTCGTCATATTAACTCTCTTTAAAAGGAAGCTACATTGAATTTCTCTTTGTTTCTCAATGCAGGCAAACTCCCACTACTTTGCCATCATAGAACAGGCAAGTACACACAAAATGGCTATTTATATCTTTGCTCTTCGCTAAATGTTGTATCATGATTGTCTGTAGCTGATGCATAGACGAAATGCATTCTTTATCTCTTTCTTATTTCACATGCACCATGTTGAAGAACACATGGAACGTTACATATCAAATTAAAAGACGCTAAGAGGATGTCATATAGACTCCGGTTTGATGCAATGATGCTATTTACTATTGTAATATTTTTTTTGCTCATGTTCTAAAGCCAGGCTCAAGTTTTCTCCATTATTTCTCATGCATGAGCAAGACACACCACCACTTACAGGATAGTATAACCGAAAAGGCTAACATCATACTCTTGGTTTGAGATGATGGCAGGAAGAACTTATGGGAATATCTGTCATAAATGGAACATGCTATTGCTTTTTTCCAGTATATTTCATTGCGCAGTTCATTGCTAGTGCATAATAATACTTATGAATCAAGAATAATACAGGTTTGCCTATCTTTGAATATACTAAACCTAATGAGCATAGGTTCGTCGGCTGACACACCTTACTTACGCCCATTGTATGAACTCCTCAATTTGGAAAGCTTTTTAAAAACCTGCTAATTGGGCAGCTCTATAGCATGGACTAGAAAAGAAATACAAACTCATTAAATTCCTTCGCACTGAAAAAAAAAACCCTTCAGTAGCATTGTAATGATTGATGTGCCAATTGATGATACATCATTTCAATGTGAATGATATGCAGGCCTTGGGTCTTATCACTTTGATGTTGAAATCTAGGCGGCTAATTATTTCTTTGATTCTCCCCTAGTTTTTGTTGTTTGCGGTGATTTGTTTCTTTGATGTAATGAAGCATGATTAAATAAGTTTGAGATGGCTAACCACGCTTGCCATGTGGTTGCTCCTATATATATTCCAAGGAAGAGAACACATACTTTTGCCACAACGATGGAGGGGAAAGTGGCAAGGTTCGAGGTTGTATGAGTGCGAATCAGGCAAGAACTGAACCGAACAATTGAACTTGGGTGGCGCCATGGCGTCTGGCCCACTAACAAGGCTCAGGGTAAAGAACTGGTTTGGGGTTTAACTTCTTGATTGATTCATGCATACATCCTGAGTACATCTAGTCTCTCTCTTGCCAACTCAACTACTATATCTTCTAAGAAACAAACTCCTAGCAACCTGGATAAGAATCTGAATTTAACTTCACCACTAAGCAACTTCAACTCCCTAACTACTTGAACTGGACATTCCCATGGCTCGTCCTGCCGTGCACGGTGCTCAGTATCGGTATACTTGGCCCCATATGACACCAATTTTTCCTTACAAACTGGGGTGCTCGGGGATTGATCCTGGGCAAATGGCCTGTGTCTCATTTGATATTGGTCCGTAGGAGCAAAGTTTGGCTTATTTTATTTCCTATTGCATTAGAACTAATCTGGAGGCTGATAATATTTAAATACCAAATTGATACTTGTTGGATATGATTATAATTTAGAATACATGACTTGGACAATTATTCAGTCATAATGAAATTTATTGATCTTTATGATTTTCTTTAACAGATGATGGAGGGGAACATGTGGCTCAATGATACTATTGGAGTTATTCCTAAGAATTCTTGGTCAATTGATCCATTTGGTTATTCATCTACAATGGCATATTTGCTTAGGAGAATGGGTTTCCATAACATGTTAATCCAGAGAACACACTATGAGGTGAAAAAGGAGCTTGCAATGAAAAAAAATCTTGAATATTTGTGGAGGCAGAACTGGGATATTGAAGAAACAACTGACATATTTGTTCACATGATGCCCTTCTATTCTTATGATATTCCACACACGTGTGGACCAGAACCAGCTGTCTGCTGCCAGTTTGACTTCGCTCGAATGCGTGGTTTCAGTTATGAATCCTGCCCATGGAGATTTGATCCTGTTGAGACAAATTCTGACAATGTGCAAGAGAGGGCAACAAAGCTTCTAGACCAGTACAGGAAAAAATCAACCCTGTACAGAACGAATACACTTCTCATTCCTTTGGGTGATGATTTCCGATATGTTAGTATGGAGGAAGCAGAAGTACAATTCCGCAATTACGAGAAACTCTTTGATTACATAAACTCAAATCCGCATCTTAACGCTGAAGTCAAATTTGGTACCCTGGAGGATTACTTCTCCACATTGAGAGATGAAGCTGAAAAGATAAACTATACACGGCCAGGTGAATTGGGTTCTGCTGAGCTGCAAGGTTTTCCAACACTTTCAGGGGATTTCTTTACATATGCTGATAGAAATCAGGACTACTGGAGTGGCTACTATGTGTCAAGGCCATTCTTCAAAGCTGTTGACCGTGTACTAGAACAGACGCTCCGTGCCTCAGAGATTCTGGTTTCATTTGTTCTAGGATACTGTCAGAAGTTTCAGTGTGCAAAGCTCCCCATCAGCTTCTCACACAAACTGACAGCAGCAAGGAGGAATTTGGCGCTTTTTCAGCATCATGATGGGGTAACTGGCACAGCTAAAGATCATGTTGTGGTGGACTATGGGACTCGAATGCACACTTCACTGCAAGATCTACAGTTATTTATGTCCAGGGCAGTTGAAGTGCTTTTAGGAGATTTCCATGATAGATCTGACCCAACATTGTTATCACATTTTGAGCCTGTGCAGGAACGGTCAAAGTATGATGTTCACCCGGTGCATAGGGCTCTTCACCCTCATGATGGTAAGGCACAGTCAGTTGTCTTTTTTAACCCATTAGAACAGACAAGGGATGAGGTTGTTATGGTTGTTGTAAGTACTCCAGATGTTTCTGTTCTCAATTCAAATGGGTCCTGTTTGCCAAGTCAAGTTTCCCCTGAGTGGCAGTTTGTCAGCGATGAAAAGATTTCGACTGGTCGGCACCGCCTTTATTGGAGAGCTTCTGTTCCTCCACTAGGTTTGGAGACCTACTATGTAGTTACTGGGCAGGATTGTGAAAAAGCTATTCCTGCTGTAGTAAAAACATACCAGGAATTTCCTTGCCCTGAACCATATCATTGTTCAAAGCTGGAAGGCAAATCAGTGGAGATGAAAAATTCCAATTACACTCTTTCTTTTGATACAAGCCATGGTCTCCTTCAGACAGTAACCCGTCACAAGGATGGGGAACAAACTGTGATAGGTGAAGAAATTGGCATGTATAGAAGCCATGGAAGCGGGGCATACTTGTTCAAACCAATTGGGGAAGCTCGTTCAATTGTCGAGGAAGGAGGACATTTCATCCTTACTGAAGGACCATTGGTTCAAGAAGCCCATTCTCTTCCAAAGACAGAGTGGCATAAGTCACCTCTCTCACATAGTACACGTATGTACAATTGTGGAGACTCTATACAGGACATGCTGATCGAGAAGGAATACCATGTTGAGCTTGTTGGCCATGTTTTTAATGATAAGGAACTGATTGTCAGATACAAGACAGATATTGACAACCAAAGGATCTTCTATTCTGATCTAAATGGGTTTCAGATGAGTAGGAGGCAGACATATGATAAGATTCCTCTACAGGGAAATTATTACCCAATGCCATCACTTGCCTTCTTGCAGGATTCACATGGTAATCGGTTTTCTGTACACTCCAAGCAGTCATTGGGCGCAGCAAGCTTGAAAAATGGATGGCTGGAGATTATGTTGGATCGTAGGTTGGTTCAGGATGATGGCCGTGGTCTGGGGCAGGGAGTAATGGACAATCGGCCCATGAATGTTATATTTCATCTCCTCAGGGAGTCCAATGTCTCAGCTTTGCCTAAAACCCACAGTTTGCTTACTCTTCAACCTTCTCTCCTCTCGCACCGTGTTGGGGCGCACCTGAACTACCCAATGCATGCTTTTATGAGCAAAAAACCTCATGAAAAATCCTTCAAGCTGGCTCAACAGTCATTTGCTCCATTAACTGCTTCTTTGCCTTGCGATGTACATATTGTGAACATGAAGGTCCCTCAGCCCCTAAGATTTCCTCACACTGAAGCAGCAGAACCAAGATTTGCTGTTCTGTTGCAGAGGAGAGGCTGGGACGCATCATACTGCAAAAGGGGTGGACTGCAGTGTACAACAGTTGGCGAAGAGCCAGTAAATCTGTTCTACATGTTCAAAGATTTGTCAGCTATGAATGTGAAGGCGACTTCGCTGAACCTCTTACATGATGACCCTGAAATGCTAGGTTACCTTGAGCAGATCGGTGATGTTGCTCTGGAGGGAAACATTCTTATCTCACCAATGGAGATTCAGGCATACAAGTTAGACCTACAGCCACCATCATCGCAGGAAGAGTAGTTTGCCAAAATAGTACATGCATACAGTCCTACAAGACAGTGAAGATGGATCTTCCCGAAATACTTGATAGTGGCAGCTACATTGTACTGGAACAGCAGTGCTGCATGTATATGTGCCATTCTCTTGGCATACAGTAAGTGATTTAACCTCTCGAAGTTGCAGCTGAGGCATTTAATTACAACCTTGCCATCCACGAAGGTGCATACACTTCTTGTTCTTAGTATTATGCTCAACAGATTGGAAGATTTGGGGCACATTGAAGCACAACTAATTTCATTAGGGTAGACTTGCGTGTTCGCAGAATTACTGTGTTGCTCCGGCCAATGCTAACACAACAATAACTTGTATCAGAGCAAGTTTTGTATAATTCTGTTCTGCTTGCATCCTTTTTGTAGTGCCATTATCCTGCTGGCAAAAACCTGAGATAGTTTAGGTACATGGTTTTTGCTTTAGAGATCTTCATATTATATTTACAAAATTCTGCTTGTAAGCATGCGAGGATTGCTGGAATGCTTCGCCCGGGTTCTTTTTCGGGGCCATCTTCTTGGGTCCTGGCTACAAAGCTCACCAGCTTTACCGTTGTTTGATACTGTATTGTTTGCTGCCACATTTTGCCAAACCTGATTATCAACAAAAGTTCTGTTTGCTACTGTATGGTTCCTTTTTTTCGAAACATACAGTATGATTCGTTACATCACCTAATGCGCGCGGTGGTACATGATCGGTTTGTTGCCGCGTTTGGCAAGCCCTTGGTTTGGTGGTTTTTGAGTTTTGACGTGTGTTTGATTAGATGCACACTTTTGGTTTGCCATACTTTCTGTACTCACTTTCTTGCCACACAACACAATGGGAGGAAATGTGCCATAAAAGAGATTAGTTAAGTATTGCCATCTGCCGTTACCCTACACATTTGTCGGCGGGTCTGAACCTTTTACCTGTTTTCATGATCTCAGCAAACCCAAGGAAATTTCGTGACATCTTGCGACTTGTGAGCACATGAATCACTGTATCGAAACTATTTACAAGCAGTACAAGGTACATCCATGACTGACTGAACATAGAGAGTCGATTCCCAAATTTTCTCATTGCTAAACTCTACATATGCATTATACCCTCGCGAATGTCCACCAGCAATCCATGTCCATCGTATGATTACCGAGCCAGCGGTGCGGGTCTTGCTTTAGAGTTATAAAGCTTGTATATCAGGGTCTGAACCCTGGACTATTCATGAATAAAACCTCATAATTCGTATTATCTCAGCTCTAAGAAAAGAAGTTCGAAAATGCACCAACAGTGGGATCTTCAAAGGCTCCGCCTTCTTGCTAAAGCAAGTAGTTCTCACTTCACATGAACCGCTTCCTGCCACACCTAACTCAACCTGAAAGATGGAAAGGGGAGTGAGAATTAGTAGACAATTGACTGAATACGGGGAAAAATGTTAAAAGAAGCTCATGCAAATTCAACAATGAACATAGATATTTGTGATAGGAAGTAACAAATAACCAATGATGCATTGCGTAATGGGTTGGCAACATAACTGAAGTCATTCTAATTTGCTATACAAGAAACCAACTACTTTGATGTTACTATGTTACTGTCAGTCTCTAAGACGTCCTGAGCACATTTGATTGGCCTACCTAACATAATTGCGTGAACAAAAAAGTTTCTTGGTTTGGTATCTATTACCTTACCTTGATCTGTATTGAGCCGAGTCTCTTCTCCTCCCTTCCTGGGAAACAGCTATGCTTCTTACAGATGAATCATTTGGCTCTGCTAAGGGATTGGTGACAAAACCACCATGAACTCCAAATTTCTGCCTGTCCCACTTGTAAGAACTTTTGCTCTCCTCGGAGTAGTTTGGTGCATCCGATACAGAGTACCTGGAAGTGTATCTACCTCCATCGTGTCTTCTCCAGAACTTTGGGCTCAGAATGCAGCAAGCATTTGTGTCAGGTTCGCTGTTTGGAATCCTTCCTGAGGAAGCAGCCAAATCACGGGATATCTCATCCAATAACATCTCCAGCCCATTCACCCTGGTCTCCAAGGAACGTATCCCATTCTGGGAGCTCCCCATGAATTTCTGATGAGACAAAAGTAATTAAAGGGTCAGATGTGTTTTCTGTTTACAAGGAGTAACTGGGAATGATTCAATGCTATGCATGTTTTAGAACATCTTACATGTAACATGGATAGTTGTTTGGACATAAAATGTCAATACAAAAACTGAACTGTTGTAATAATATAGTATATTGCCTATATAATATGTGATCAGAACATTGGCTGATGCTTTTTTACAGATGCAGGCAAACGCTATCGATGTTCCAGATAGCCAGCGGTATGTGTGACACATGAAGATATGCTTAAAAGAAGTTGGTAATTAAAACATGGCCGTATTGCTAGTGACTGTACTGTGGTCCAGGTTTCCCCCACACCATGCCACAGATCAGGCCTGAATGCATACTGATTTGACTAGTGCTTGGAGGACACATTGAATGAATGCATGATTCATACCAAACGGTCAGTGCTGCTCACTGAGACCAAATAATAAGCTCCTATTAAATATCCTGATGCAAGAACAGGATGAGACCCCTCTTCATGCACAAATCAGTTCACATTGTACCAAAAAAAGGGGGGAAAATCCAGTAGGTACTGGTGGGTCCTGGTTCTTTTACATAGGGAATGAGTGAGCTTGCAACAAAGTTTGCTTCGTGTAAAATTTTTCCAAGCAACAAGATTTTTATCTTTTATTTGTTACATTTAGCTTCTATGTCATCATGTAGGACATCTCATCTGCTCACGCACAGAGGAGATTCCTAAGCAAACAAGGGGGAAAATAAATGAAAAATTGAAAATGGAATATCCAATTTATCATGAAGAATAAAGAATTTCAACAAATTATTGACGTATGATACATTGTAACAAGGGATAACTACCTGGAGAAGATTAAGCAAACTGGCCTGCTGATTCTCAATCTGAACCAGCTGCATCCTGATCTTCGACAGGTCCTCATCTTTGTGAGTTGACTGAAATTCCTCAGGCGCATCCTCAGTTTCAGCCGTCTCTTCCAAGTCACCATCGCCACTGTATGGAACAACTCTGGATCCTGACTTGGGACCAGCCAACTTCTTGTAACCTTTCTCACCAGTCTTCTGAAACAGCACTCTCCGTGCTTCAAGCCTCTCTCTAACACTGCCCTCTTTCAGGAGCTTCTCCTCGGTCACCATTTTGATTGGCGTAGCATCAGGATCGACAGTAACGTCAACCCTGTCCTCAAATTTCTTGGACTGGTCTGTGTTGCGGCGCGAAGGGGGCAAATTTTTCTTGCTTACGATGGAAGGAGGGCTGCCTTTTCTGTTGATGGCATTGTGCGATGCATCCGGTGGGGGCTGCCTGTTAGTCGGCCATGAGTTCCTCGTAATTGAAGGGGTAGTAGAGGTGGAGCCCAAGGAATCGGCGGGGTATCGGCCATCACTTGCAGTCTCTGTCCAATTATACAATCAAACAATGTTAGAAAAGAACATCCATAGTGTGAATAACTCTCATCCAGACAACTAAATCCAACAAATGTAATATCATGCATATTGCGGTGCGTATCTAAAATAAAAGGTTATAAAAATGCGAAATAGCATTTTTTTTCTTAGCAATGAACTAAGGGCATTTTTTTTCTTAGCAATGAACTATTCTTCAAGTGTGTTTTACTATTACCAAGCAAGGACTATTTCTGTCTTTTACCGAGTAGGTTATTTTTTACGCGTACTTACGGTATGCAGTCCAAACCTTGAACCAGGCACAGACCTTAATTCACCCAAATGGGCGTACCCGCAGAGAGCGGCCGCTCTGTAAGGGGGTCTGGAGAAGGATGGCAGTAGTAAGTCTTACCTTCTTCGTCTGTGCAATACGAGGAGACCACGACTCAAAGCCGTGGTCACATACGGTTAGACCTTAATTCACCCAAATGACAAAAGAAAAAAAATAGTGACTAGACCCTCATGAATAGCCACATCACCTGTGAGAGAAGATCTAGACTGGGACGGTGGTGGGGCGTCGAAGGAGGAGACCTCCTCATCCAAATCTGGGACCTCCTTCCATGCCTCGATCATCCGGTTCATGGACTCGCGCACTATTTTCACCTGCAATGTGCCAAGAAGGTGTCAGAAATGTCAAGAAGCCGCAGCAGATCTACGAGGTCAAGATCCGAAGTTTAGTTATGCGCCCGACCTTATCGAATCTCTTGGCTTCGAAGACGGTAATGCAGGAAGATTTGTGTGAAACGAGGTCGTCCCCGTGCTCGAGGGCCAACAAAGCGAGCGCCTCGGCGGCAGCCTTCCTGGCGGCCCAATCATCGCCAGCGAGCGCGTCGCGGAGGCAAGGCACGGCGGCGGAGGCGGCTCCCCCGCCGGAGGCTGCCGAGGCGGTGCCGATGAGGGAGATGAGCGCGGGCTTGGCCTTGAACGCGGCGCTGCGGAGGAGCTTGTAGAGGCGCGGGAGGAGGCCCCGGAGGTACGCGGCGAGGTCGTCGGTGGGCTCCGACGCCTCGACCGCCGCCGCGGCCGCGAGCGCGGCGGCGAGCTGCGCGCACTGGTCCTGCTCGTGGAGCAGCGCGTCGGCGAGCGGGGCCAGCGCGGCCGGCGGCGACGCGGCGGCGCCCGCCGCGGCGCGCGCCGCGTCGACGAGCGCGGCGCGCACGGAGGAGTCCGGGTCCCTGACGCGGCGCAGCGCGGCGGCAACGAGCCTGGGCACGAGCGGCGCCACGGTGCCCCGCGGGTGCTCGCCCGCCACGAGCGCCAGCAGGCGCAGCGAGTGCCTGCGCAGCGGCGTCCGGTCGGTGGGGCGCGCGTCGGAGACCGCGGCCACGAAGACCGGGAGCTCGTCGGCGTCGAGCTCGCGCGCGATCGCGTCCAGCTCCGCCGCCGCCATGGCCTCCGTGTCACGGTCCGAGAGCCGCAGCAGGCAGCGGTTCACTCGCTGCTTCATGGGCTCCCTCGGCGCGGGGCCCATGA